GTTGATTCCAACTCGTAGTGCCCTTATGCATGACAGAACTAAACATTAGCTAGTCCTGTGCCTTCCTAACAATAGATGTTAAACATGAACCCATTGCCACTGCCACTGTTCCAACTCATCTCGTTGCAGGTAGTCCTCTTTTTTGCTAACTTTCCATGTTACCTAGTATGATATACTTCTACAGGGATTGGTCCCCCATGACAATATGTCCAAAGTATGAAAGATGAAGTCTCATAATCCTGGCTTCTATGGAGCATTCTGGCTGTACTTCTTCCACAACAGATTTGTTTGTTCTTTTGGTAGTTTACAGTATTTAATATTCTCCTCAAACACCATAACTCAAATGCATCAGTTCTTTTATGGTCTTTATTTCCTGTCCAACTTTCATATGCCTATGAGGTTATTGAAAATATCCTGGCTTGTGTCAGGCACACCTTAGTTCTCAAACTTTGCTCTTTAACACTTTAAATCTTGTGCAGCAGATTTACCTAACGCAATATGTCGTTTGATATCTTGACTGCTGTTTCCATGAGTGCTGATGGTCGAGGCAAGCAAAATGAACTTTCTGACAACTTCTATCTTTTCTCCATTTATCATGATTTTATTTATTGACCAATTGGTGAGGAATTTTGTTTTCTTTACAATGAGGTACAACTCATATTGAAGGCTGTGGTCTTTGATCTTTATCAGAAAGTATTTTAAGTCTTATTCATTTTCAGAAAGCAAGGTTGAATCATCTGCATATCACAAATAGTTAATGAATTTACTTTCAATCCTGATGCCACATTCTCCTTCATATAATCCAGCTCTTGGATTGTTTCCTCAGTATACAGAGTGAATAAGTATGGTGAAAAACACAACACTGGCACACACTTTTCCTGATTTTATATTATTCACTGTTCCCTGGTTCTGTTTCAAATACTGCCTCTTGTTCTATGTGCAAATTCCTCATGAGCACAATTAAGTGTTCTGCAATACTAATGTTCTGTAATGTGGTCCATAGCTTTTCATGATCCACACAGTTGGAAGCCTTTGCATAGTCAACAAAGCACAGGTCTTTCTGGTATTTTCTGCTTTCAGTCAAGATTCATCTGAAATCAACAATGATATTCCACATTTCACATCTTTGTCTGAATCCACCTTGAACCTCTAGCAGTTTCCTGTCAATGAACTGTTGCAGCCATTTTTTAACTATCTTGAGTAAAATTTTACTTGCATGTGATATTTATGATATTGTCCACATTCAATTGGGTAACCTATCTTTGCAATGGGCACAAATATGGATCTCTTCCAATCAGTTGGCCAGGTAGCTGTCTTCCAAATTTCTTGGCATAGTTGAATAACTGCCTCCAGGATTGCATCAGTTTGTTGAAATATTTCAATTGGCCTTTCATTAATTCCTGGAGTGTTCTTTCTTGCCATTGCCTTCAATGCACCTTGAACTTCTTCCTTCAGTACCATTAGGCCTTGATCATATGCTAGTTCTTGAAATGGTTGAACAACAATGATTTCTTTTTGGTATACTGAATCTGTACCAGAAAGATGTTTACTTGTGTTTTATTCACCACACAACGACGTAAAGAAAATAGAAATCCTCACAAGTGGACCAATAAATACCATCATCACAAATGGAGAAAGATTAATGTTGTAAAATACTTCATTTTGCTTGGATCCACAATTAACACTCATGAATGCAGCAGTCAAGAAACCAGACAAATTTCATTAGGTAAATCTGTACAAGGCCTCTTTGAAATGTTTAAGAGCAAAGATAACTATTTTAAGACTAAGGTTCGCTTGGCCCAAGACATGATATTTTTAATTGCCTCACATGCATACAAACGTTACACAATGAATAAGGAAGATGATAGAAGCATTGATGCATTTGAGTTGTGATGTTTGAGTAGAGTATTGAAAGTACCATGGACTGTGTGTTGGAAAACACACAGTCAGAATGTTCCTTAGAAGCCAGTATGCATTTTCTTTACTGTACTCTCAAAGATTCTTTCACTTAAATATATTAATCAAATGTATTTAAAATTTTCATTTTAAATACCTGTAGTTTTGTGGCCTGAATCTGTAATTTGATGTTATTGCTGTTTGTTGCTCAAGGGGCCTTGTTTACTTGGCTATTTTTTTTTGTGGTGAACTCACATTTCTTTGAACTTTATTATCAGTGGTGATCATGTTATTAAAGACTCCAAAACTTAGAGACATATAAGGGAACAAGGGCTCTCAAAAAGGGTTTTCCAAACCATTCTGAGTAAGGAGGTGGAAGACAGAAAGAAAAATAATATATGTGTTCAGGATGTTTTAGGATGCATATGATGAAAACAAGTCAAGTTTAGTCAAAATGTCCTCCAAGATAATGCTTTATGCAGATGGTCTTCTGGAAAGAGGTAAACTGATATGAAAAAAGAGATAATTGCTGGTGATTGTCATGCAAAGTTTGGAAACAAAGAGGAAGTTATTGGTAGTTGGAAAATATGGTTTGATGATAGAAATTATGCTGGAGATCACATGATAGAATTTTGCAAGACCAATGACTTATTCATTGTAAATACCCCTTTTCAACAACATAACACACAACTATAAACATGTACCTCACCAGATGGAATCAAATGGTCTACATCTCTGTGAAGAAGTGGTGGAAAAGCTCAATATCATTAACCAAAACTATGCCAGGGTTGACTGTGGAACAGACCATCAATTGCTCATATGCTCATATGGAGAAAATGAAAACAATTCTATGAGAGCTAAACAATGACCTTGAATATATGTCGCCTTATTTTAAACAACATAGCAAGAATACATTTGATGTGTTAGAAAATACTGTCCAAAGACCAGAAGAATTGTGCAATGACATCAAGAATATCGTACATGAAGAAAGCAAAAGGTCACTAAAAAGACAGGAAAGAAAGAAAAGACAAAAATAGATGTCATAAGAGACTCTTTAACTTGCTCTAGAATACAGACATTAACATAAATGGAAGAAATGAGTCAAAGAAATTATCAAAGAAGATGAAATCAATTATTATAAGGAAATGTGCATTGACCTGCAGTTAGAACTCCAGCTGGGAAAAACATGGTCAGGATTTCTCAAACTGAAAAAAACGAAGATAAAAATTGAGGCCTAGGGTTGCTGAAGATAATTAAAAAATGGTTGCAACAGTACATTGAAAGGAAACTGCCAGAAATTCAAGCTGAACTCAGAAGAGTAGGTGAAACAGGAATATAATTGCTGACACCAGATGAATCTTAGCTAAAAACATAAATTACCAGAAAGATGTTTACTTACATTTTAGTGACTATACAAAGGCATTGTTAAACTTTATGGATCATAACAAAACTATGGATAGCATCAGGAAGAATGGGTGTTACAGAATACTTAATTGTGCACTTAACAACAATAACAGAGCAAAATGTTAATGAATGCCACACCATTCATTAATTTGTCATATTGACATTGTAAACCATCTGATTATCTGATTCAAAATGTTTATTGCAGCTCACTAATGCCTAGGATAAAGAGCTCTGGTATCACAGTGGTTATGAGTTGGGCTGCTAACCTCAAGGTCAGCAATTCAAAACTACCAGCTGTTCACTGGGATAAATATGAGGCTTTCTATTCCTGTAAAGGTTTACAGCCTCAGAAACCACCTACAGGGTCATTATGAATTGTAACTGACTTCATGAACATAATCAACCAGTGCGTAGGATATCAATCTTTATATGTTCCCTTTAATTTTTCACTACTTTCAATTTTCCTAAATTCATACTTCGTACATTCCATATTCCAATTATTAGTGCATATTTGCAGCGTTTGTCATTTCTTTGTTTTTCTGGACTGATTCCAAGGAAAAGGAAAGAGAAAAAATATCAAGATCCTAAATTTGGCCCAAATTTCCCAATCCTCATGCCTATTGCATTAGCATAAATCTTACAAAAGTCCAAGTTGGTTTCCACTGTAGAGAGGTCTCTAACCTGGGAACGAAATACAGATTTCAGCATGACCAAAAATTGTCTACATAAAGGTGATACATAGTTGTATTTTGCGGGATAGGGGATTCTCAAATAGACACAAGGAGGATCAGTAATTATTATCCTAGACAATCGAACTTTTAAGTACTTCTGATTGAGGAAAGGAAAATCTCTACCAGCCAGAAACAGTTTTGTAGCTCTCTGAGCCTTGTATGACTTCATTTCTCAGGAGGCTTCCAACAATTTCTAATTTGTTTATGTCCATTCATTTTCAAGCTGCTTCTTCTAAGTGACTCTGCCCGCCATCCTGCTACAGGATTCTTACACATCCCAGGTATCCTTAAAGCAGAAATGCTTATACAGAATTGTCAAGAGTCCCTCATTAGAGATTAATTAAATGGTATTTCTCAAGGAGATTTTAAGTAGCACCTATTCCAATCTCTTTAATATGCATGATCATGTACTTCTCCAGTCATCAAATTAATAGCTGAGCAATGTTCAAGTAGAACCTTTCTGTTTCACTATATAAAGAAATGATGCTAATTTAGCCTGTCTCCAAAGCTTCACAGATTTGCAGAATATACTATGTGAAAATAAGAAATGAAAACATATTAGAAGAAAATGGGCTAATGATGCACAGTACATGCCTTTTGTTTTCTAGGAAAGAATGATAGTATAAGCATGTATGTACAAGAGAAGTCCTGGTTTGGCAATATGGGTTAATGCGCTAGACTGCAAAGTCAGTTTGATCTGTAAGGTTGGTTGTTCAAGCTCAACAGTTGCTCCTTGGAAATCCTATACAGTGGCACTGAACAACAACAATGTACAAGAGGATTTAAAATATATATATATATATATATATATATTAGTTCAAACTGATGCTTGTATTTGAAATGTGATTGTATTAAATCAACATCAATTATTTAATGTTATAAAATTAGCAAAATGCATGACTGGAAAGAATGATAAATCCTTCTTTTTGGAAATACATTCGTTTCCTTCTTTCATCTTTTCTTCTGCAGATGGTAGGAAGCAGGTCCACGGAACGGAATGGAAACCACTCCTCTGTGACCATGTTTATTCTCCGGGGTCTTTCAGATGAGAAAGAGCTACAGCTCATCCTCTTCCCAATATTCCTAGGGTTCTACCTTGTGACCCTTATCTGGAACCTGGGTCTCATCCTCCTGATCAAGATGGACTCCCATTTGCACACACCCATGTACTTCTTTCTCAGTTTCCTGTCATTTATCGACATCTGCTATTCTTCTTGCATCAGTCCCAGGATGATTTCAGACTTCCTTAAACTTGAAAAATCAATTTCCTTCATTGCCTGTGCCACTCAGTATTTTGTTGGATCGTGGATGGCTCTGACTGAGTGCTGCCTATTGGCCGCCATGGCCTATGACCGATATGTTGCCATTGGTAGCCCTCTGCAATACTCAGCCATCATGAGTGCCGGCCTCTGTGGAAAGATGGCTGCTGGGGCCTGTGTTAGTGGTTTCCTTAGCAGTTTTTCTCAAACAGTTTCATGCTTTAATCTTTACTATTGTGGACCAAATATCATTCAACATTTCTTCTGTGATTTGCCTCAGATTCTTTCCCTGTCTTGTTCCAATCCTTATGTCACCCAAATCATTCTTCTACTGTTAGCAATTTTTATTGGATTTGGTTCTTTGCTTGTTATCCTCTTATCCTATGGTTTTATTGCAGCCTCCATATTGAAAATATCCTCAGGCAAAGGTAGTGCCAAGGCCTTCAATACCTGTGCTTCACATGTGGCAGCGGTGACACTCTACTATGGCACAGGCTTGTCAGTGTACTTGCATCCCAATTCTGGTCATTCCATGAAGCAGGACAAGGTGTTGTCGGTGTTCTATGTCATCATCATTCCTATGTTAAATCCTTTGATCTATAGTCTGAGGAACAAGGAGATCAAGGCAGCCCTTAAGAGACTTATAAAGAGGGCAACAGGTTTGCCTCAGTTAGCATAGGGTGGCACTGTAGGATCAGTGCTGGACTGCGAACCACAAGGTCAGCATTTCCAACAGCTGTGCCTCGGAAACGCTATACAGGATCACTATGAGTTGGAACCAACTGGATAGCAATTAACAACAACAACTACTATTATTTGTAGAAGGAAGATGAGTGTAGACACGTATAAGTGACCTTTTGTCAGTCACATTTGTAACTGAACAGTGAGAAGTAAAAAGTTGGCTTCCTTATTTCTTGGTGTTATCATACTGAGTTGTCATCAAGTAATCTGATACAGTGACACTGAATGCTGTTCCCATAATTAGGACTCATGTAGGTAAAAACCTAGAAGGTAATTATGCTTTGAAAAATAAGTGCTTGTGTATATAATATATACAGAAATAACTTGAATACATGACACTAATCAGCATTTTCCCTCCTTCAGAGTCCCTTCATTTTTGAAATGTCTTATTGTATAATATTTGTTTTTGTTTCAATAAAAATACAACTGAATTATATTTAAAATTAAATACATGAAAAATAAACATAATTCTTATAGGAACACTTTATAACTTTGGTAGAGAAAGGGGAGAAAGAGGTTGAGATTTGTCTGTGTTTGCTTCCAAGGAACCTTGCTCCTTCCACCGTGCCTCTCAATCAAAGGGAAGTAAATTGTGAAGGAGATAAAGGAGATAAAAAGAGTAAGATGTAGGGGGCACTTTCAAAGTCAAGGGTGAGAAGATTCCTAGACTCTAGAAAGAAGCTAAAGGCCAACAATTTCTGGGTACAGGTGAATCTGGAGCATGCTCCATGGTGGCATCTTGGGGATTGTGTAACACTATCACAAATGCTTGCTTTCTTGAGGCATTAGTATGTGAAAGTTGAGGTTTTCCAGAGCTTTAGGTTTGATAAAAGGAGCTCTGGTAGTGTAGTGGTTATGAGTCAGGCTGCTAACCTCAATAGTAGCAGTTCAAAACTACAAGTGGTTCCATGGGAGAAAGATGAGGCTTTCTGTTTTCATAAAGATTTACAGCCTTGGAAACCCTATGCAGGGTTGTTATGAGTTGGAATGAACTCCACAGCACATAACCACCACCACTAATGTTTGATAAGGAATTATCAGAGTCAACAGATTCAGGGATACCAGAGACTCAGAGACCAATAGACAGAATTTAAAGAAAATGTTAAAGAAAGATATCTCTTTCAGCCTGGGTTGCATGAGTCCTGTTTCATAGTATAATGTTATCATTAATATAACATTTTACACTTGATAAAATTCTTTTGCAAAGGTTTCATTTGCAAAAGGCTTTTCCAGCCTCATTGTAACTAAGAAGACCTTATGATGACTGATGATGTTGTTGTTAGGTACTGCTGAATCAGTATTGACTCACAGTGACCTTATGGATAACAGAATGAAACAATGTCTAATACTGCGCCAACCTCACAATTGTTGCTATGCTTGAATCTATTGCTGCTGCCACTGTGCCAATCCATCTCGTTGTGGGGTCTTCCTCTTTTCCTCTTATGCTCCACTTTACCAACATGATATACTTCTCCAGTGACAGGTCCCTCCTGATGATATGTCTGAACTTTGAAAGACGAAGTCTGGTCATCTGGACTTCTAAGTAGCATTCTGGCTGTCTTTTTCAAATACAGATTTGTTTGTTCATTAGGTAGTCTATGGCACTTTTAATATTCTCCTCCAACACCACAACTCAAATGCATCAATTCTTCTATGGTCTTCCTATGTATGCATACGAAGTAATTGAAAATACCATGGCTTAGGTCAGGTGCATCTTAGTCCTCAAACTGACATCTTTGTTCCTCAGCACTTTAAAGAGATCTTGTGCAGCAGATTTGCCTAATACAGTACATCGTTTGATTTCTTGACTGCTGTTTTCATGAGTGTTGATGGTTGAACCAAGCAAGCTGAAGTCTTTGACAACTTCATTCTTTTCTCTATTTATATGGATGTTGTTTATTGGTCTAGTGGTATGGGTTTTTGTTTTCTTTACATTGAGATGCAACCCATACCAATGGCTGTAGTCTTTGACCTTCATCAATGAGTATTTTAAGCCCTCTTGGCTTTCAGCACGCAAGGTTGTATATGCTGCATATCGCAGATTGATAATGAGTCTTCCTCCAATCCTGATGCCATGCTCTTCTTCATATAACCCAGCTTCTCAGATTATTTGCTCAACATACAGATTGAATAGTATGGTGAAAGAATATAACCCTGGCACTCACCTTTCTTAATTATAAAACATTTAGTGTTCTCTTCTGCTCAAACAGCTACCTCTTGGTCTACGTACAGGTTCCTTATGAGCACAATTAAGTGTTCAGGAATACTCATACTTCACAGTGTGGTCATAGGTTGTCATGATCCACATAATTGAAAGCCATTTTCAATCAGTAAAGCACAGGTAAACATCTTTCTGATATTCTCTGCTTTCAATCAAGAGCCATATGACATCAACAGTGACATCACTAGTTCCATGTCCTTTTCTGAATCTGGCTTGAACCTCTGGAAGTTCTCTGTCAATGTATGGCTGCTGTCATTTTTGTATTACATTTAGTAACATTTTATTCACATTGGATATCAATGATATTGTCCAATATTTTCCACATTCCATTGGGTCACCTCTCTTTGGCCTGGGCACAAATACAGATCTCTTCCAGTTAGTTGACCAGGTAGTTGTCTTCCAAATTTCTTGGCATAGATGAGCGAGTGACTCCAGTGCCACATAATTTTGTGGAAATATTTCAATTTGTATTCCATGAATTCCTTGTGTCTTGTTCTTTGCCAATTCCTACAATGCACCTTGTACTTCTTCTTTCAAGGATCATTGATTCTCTAATAGATCATATTCTACCTCTTGAAGTAGTTGAACATGTAACATTTCTTTTTGGTACAGTGACTGTATTCTTTCCATCTTCTTTTGATGGTTTCTGCATCATTTAAGAATTTTCCCATGTTGTTGTAATTGTTGTTAAGTACTATCGGGTTGATTCCAGCCTGTAAAGACCCTGTATAGGGTTTCCAAGGAGTGACTGCTGAGCTTGAATCACTGACCTTGTAGTTCAAATTGATTTTGCATTCCACCAGAACCCTTCAATACCACAAATGCAAGTTTGAATTTTTTCTTTAGTTCCCTCAGCTTAGGAAAAGTTGTGTGTTCTTTCCTTTTGGTTTTCTAACTCGAGGTCTTTGCACATTTTATTATAATATTTGACTTTGTATTCTCGAACTGAACTTTGAAATTTTTTGTTCAACTCTTGTACACTTCTTCCATTTGCTTTAGCATCTCTGCACTGGAAAGCAAGTTTCAGAGTCTCTTCTGACATCCTTTTTGATCCTTTCCTTCTTTCTTGTCTTCTTAATGACCTTTTGCTTTCTTCCTGTATGATGTTCTTGATGTCATCACACAATTCTTCTGGTCTTTGAAATTTAGAGTCCAGTGCATCAAATCTGTTCTTCAGATGATCTCTGAATTCAGGTGGGATATAATCAAGGTCCTGGTGTGGTGATGTGGGCTAATGCGTCAGACTGCAAAGTCGTTTGAACTGCAAGGTCGGTGGTACAAGCTCACCAGCTGCTCCTTGGAAACCCTATACAGGGTTGCTATGGGTTGGAATAGACTCAACGGCACTTAACAACAACAACATATTCAAGCTCATATTTTGGCTCTTGTGGACTTGCTTTCATTTTCTTCAGCTTCAGCTTGAATTTACATATGTGCAATTGATGGTCTGTTCCACCGTTTGCCTCTGGCCTTGTTTTGGCTGATGATATGAAGCTTTTCCACTGTCTCTTTCCACAGATGTAGTCAATTTGATTTCTGTGTATTCCATCTGGTGAGGTCCATGTACAGAGTTGTCATTTATGCTGTTTAAAAAAGGTATTTGTAATGAAGAAGTCATTGGTCTTGCAAAATTGTATTATGCAATCTTCAGCATTGTTTCTATCACCAAGGCATATTTTCCAGCCACTGATCCTTCCTTTTTGTTTCCAACCTTTGCATTCCAATCACCAGTAATGGTCAATATATCTTGATCTCATGTTTGATCAATTTCAGACTGAAGAAGTTGGTAGAATTCTTCAATTTCATCATCACCGGTTTGGTTGTTGGTGCATGCACTTGAATAATAGTGGTGTTTACTTGTCTTCCTTATAGGTGTATGGATATTATCCTATCACAGACAGCATTGTACTTCAATATGTTCTTTTCCATGACAAATGGGACAGCATTCCTCTTTAATTTGTCATTTCCTGCAAAATAAACCATTTGATTGTCAGATTTGAAATGGACAATACTAGTCCATTTCAGCTTACTAGTGCCTAGGATATTGATGTTTTTGCACTCCATGTCATTTTTTTGACAATTTCCAATTTTCCTATACTCATACTTCATATAGTCCATGTTTCGATTATTACTGGATGTTTACAGTTGTTTCTCTTCATTTTGAGTTGTGGCCCATCAGCAAATGAAGGTCCCAAGGGCTTTATTCCATTCGTGTAATCACAGTCAACTCTACTTTGAGGAGGCAGCTCTTCCCCAGTTGCATTTTGAGTGCCTTTTAACCTGAGGGTCTCATTTTACGGCACTCCATCTGATAATAAGGAGCTCTGGTAGTGTAATGGTTATGAATCAGGCTGTGAACCGCAAAGTCATCAGGTTCAAAACTACCAGCTGGTCCGCGGGAGAAAGATGAGGCTTTCTGTTCCTGTAAAGATTTATCGCCTCGGAAATCCTGTACAGACAGGGTTGTTATGAGTTGGAACCAACTCCATGGCACATAACAAACATCTGATAATAATCTGGTGCTCTTCATCATTTTTCAATATTCAATAATCTGGTGCTGACCATGTTCCACTGCTAGTCATAAGGTTTTCTGTGACTAAATATTTAGAATTAGTCCATCTCTCCTTCTTCCTGGTCTGTCTGTAGCTGAAAACTCATCTGAAACTTGTTTACCAGGGTATTTAAAATACCAAAGCCTGTTTTATTTTAAACTATTC